GAATTGATAGCACTGACTTTGTTTCTGTTTATATGTTGTGCAGTTCTCCTGCACGTACTATGAATAAGGAATATGAAATTTATTGTACCCCCACCTAACGTTACAAGCAGGAGACTATTAAAATGGGTTGGTCTGTCTTTAGCTACCCATCTGTCTGTTCATCCCAGTTTTTGGAATACACTAACTTTTAATTGGGGTAGAATGTTCGAATTTGGTATATATATGACTGAGTCTTACTTAACTGAGTTCGATGATGAGCATATTTCGTAAGGCTAAACAGAGATAAGAAATTTGTATTTGTTGATGGTTGGTTAACTTCAATTCTGACTGAGTAAGAGTTACAACCTTTATTAAAGTTTCATAATGAGTAATATTCTGCTTAGGTTAAACTAAGCTAATTTGATTGCTAGATACTTTATATAAAAGAAAAAGAAAAAGCACAAGTGTCATCTATTTAATTTGGCATTGAGGCAGAGGTCATCAGACTCACTGTTGGCATGTTATACATGAACTTGTATCATTCTGTGAATTAGAGATAGATAAATAGATGATATCCAATTAAGGTCATCCATTGGATTCACATCTGTTTCTAGTAAGGATTTATAAATGACACCATTAAAAAGTGGAAATTGGTAATTGATGTGATTTTGAATTTTTTATGCAAGATCTTGAAACTATCAGGCTAAAACATTTCGCAACAAATCTACTAATTCAAAATTATTCAGTTTCAATTAGTGTAAAAATTAGGACAATTTAACAATGATTGGGTGATAATTGGAATCTTGAAAAATAAATGGTTTTTGGTAAGCGTTTTAAACTGAGAATTGACTGTTTTCATGGTTTTGTACTTATGTCATGAAGGATATGTATGTAGTAATAACAATTAAACAACTTATACTTTCATATACTTCAAGTTTACTTCATTTCCTTTCACCTGACACCTTGTCTACAAGTGTTTATTTAATCTTGAGAATAGCAATTTCAATTTTGTTGTATTTTCTTGGAATTTGACCCGAAGTGCTAAATAACTACTTTTTTTCTCACTTAATCAACTCTATCTGATTTGTTTTTGGTTTGTTTTTTTGTTTGTTTTTTTTTTTTTTAAATTAAAAAACTACAACTAACAAGCATCTTTCAAGAAAGGTTTCTTTTAGGGGTGGAATCAAATTTAGACAAACTATAATTAAGCATGCATTATGCAAGAGCTAAATCTGCCTATTGCAGCGCTAGCTCGCTAGCCTGGAGGTCGGGTGTTCGATCCCTGCATTGGCCGAGAAAGTTCATCCAGATTTTCCGGCGTGGTTCTCCCTTGTCAGTGATGCAGGACGGAGGGGCTGACAAGGTAAGCTGTCTAGTCGTTCGGATGGGACGAAAAACCGAGGTCCCGTGTACACATTGGCGTGCACGTAAAAGATCCCTTGGCAGTTGGAATTCGATATAAGAGTAGGCCGTAGTGCCGCTGTCCGGGCAAAATTTCCCTCATAGCACACTGTATGGCGTATGCCCGTCTTCATTAGCCCAGGTTAGGAGCAGAACAGTAGGACGTTAAACCCCATTTCATTTCATTTCATGCCTATTGCAGGGCTTTCTTTGGGCCTGAAATGTTTTCTAGATTATTAACTGGACATTAATTAAGTTATCCAGACCATAACTAGCGATGAAATCTTTAGTCTGCTATATATACTGGATTTATATGCATTTTGTGATGGATAATTTAATTTAAGGAATCTTGTAATTTTTTTATTCAAATATATTTTTATCTGTGCTTGTTGTTAAAATAAAACATTAGCTTTAAGGATATATTGATGGAGTTTCTGGTTTTGACTCTAATGCTATAGATTTCTTGTTTGCCAACCATATCTTATGATTTCTTTGTCAGCTCTTTATTCTTTAGCAGTTTTACTTTCTTTTTTTATATAGTCAGAATTAATAACTTGAAAGTTTATTCACATTAGTGAAACATCATTTTATTGAAACATATCCGCCCATGTTCAAAAAAAGAAAATATAAAAAAGGAAACAGTATCTGGTATGTTGTGAGCAGGTCATTGATACTGTTTTTTTTTATCATTTCTTTATTCTTGGTGATTCAGCTATGAAAATTCAGTAAAAGACTAAATTGGGTAACCAATATCTTTATAACCCCCAAGCGTGATATACCATTAATGTTATTAAAGGTTATTAAACAGATACTAGGATGTAATTAAAAACATTTAGTTGTAATTTATCTACATTACCTAATTAAGAATTAAAAAAAAAACAAGTAAAATCTGCAATAGTTGTCTTTTGAATACTAACACAACACATAATTTAGAAATTTTGTGCAATTTTTTTAAATTGTCCACCTTTTTGAACACCATTGTCCATCTATCAGTCATTTCATCGAGGTCTTGAGGTATAAAGGGCCTAACAAAACCCTTGTATGTTTGAAATGAATTATAAACAGTTCTATCTCAGCGGTTGGGTTGCATGCTTTGATGTGAGTTTGTTTTCATATTAAGAGAATCCTGTATCACTGCAGGTCCAGTAATGTATAGCACATTTGGCGATTATGATCAATCTCCATGTCTTCATTTGCCCAGTAGGAGTAGGACGTATGAAACCCCATTTCATTTAATTTCACGATCTATCTCTAGATCTTTCTTTTAATTAGTTTATACTATTAATATTATTTTGTGTGCCTTGTGGTGTTCTGTTTGGTTGTATGTATGATGTGCCTTGTAGCGTTGATTGTTTGTATGATGTGTCATGTCAGTGTATTTGTTTTCTGGTGTTCTGTTTGGATGATGTATGATGTGCATTGTGGTGCCCTGTTTGGTTGTTGTATATGTATGATGTGCCTTGTCCACGAGTTTGTTTTTGGCGTTATATTTGCTTGTTGTATGATTGATGTGTCTGTCTGTGTGTTGTATGCTTGATGTGTCTGGTTTTCTCGTGGTCGGCTGTGTGTATTATGTGTCTTGTCTGGAAGATTTTTTGCTGGTGTTCTTTTTTTTTCTTATGGCTTTATGTTTCTTTGTTATGTGTGGTGTAATTGTCCTGTCATGTATAACTTTTATTAAAACTGCTTAAAATATTCTGTATTCTCTGCAGTCTCTTGTCTGATATGCTGTTTTTGGTGGTTGAGCCACGGTGGCTAAGTTAGTAAGACGCTGGCACCCCTAGCCTGGAGGTCCCGGGTTCGCTCCCGGTGTTGGCCAAGAATGTTCCTCATGAATTTTCCAGTGCGGTTTCCTTTGTCAGTGGTGCATGACAGAAAGTCTGATAAGGAAAGTTGTCTAGTTGTTCGGATGGGTCGAAAAACTGAGGTCGCGTGTACATATTGGCATGCACGTAAAAGATCCCTTAGCAGTTGGAAATGGATATAAGAGTAGGCAGTAGCGCTGCTGTCTGGGCAAAATTTCCCTCATAGCCCACTATGGCGCATGCCCGTCTTCATTAGCCTAGCCGGAGCCAAACAGTAGGACGTTAAACCCCCTTTCATTTCATTTTTGTTTATGGTGGTGCTCTCTATAGGCTTCCGTAGTGCCCACCCTCCTACGGGTTCAGTAGTGAAAGGAATCCAGTTGTATAAATTATGCAATGGAAATATTTTTTATCAATCTTCCACCTCTAATTTGGTGAAGTCATTGTTTGAAAATCAGATGTAACTTTGTTAGAGTGTTTGGTCGACATATTGAAACAGAATGCAATAGGCTAATCGTATTACCTTGAAGTATAAAAAATTCTACTAATATACAGCATGTGTAATTAACCATACCTCATTTGCATATATTCCTAAGCATGAACAGTTGCAGTTAATTATTAAAAATTTATTCCACCCAAAATTGATCTATTTTTGATTGATATATCTGTTAGAAAATTAAAGAACTTATTTGAGAAATGAGGAAACAGGTTCTTGTAAATTGTAATTTTACTCCCCAGAGATACGACTATATTAAACACAATGAATGTTTTGAATTAGTCTTCTTTAAATCCATTTATTTAAATTAGTATAATGGGTTTGCTCATCACTAAGATGAAGGATAATTAAGATGTTGAGATAAAGCAGAGAGATAGGCTGCCAGAAATATAAATATACCCCTTTTTCACTATCAAAATTCCAAAAAATCAAACAGAAATTGGATAAACAATTTGGCGTAACACTTTACAGAAGATGAAATCGAAAGAACATTTTATAGTTTTGCACTCACTACTTTAGTAGCTTATATAAGATCCTTGATGTAACCTAAAATTGGGTACATTGTATTGTTATTGGGCAAATATTGCCATCTTATAGCACATCAAACTTGACTTTGCCATCCTGGTATGACTTTGATTTGACTAGCGGGGTACTGTACAACAAAAAATAAGTTTTGGTTGTACTGGTACCGACTGGGATAATGAAGATGCACATATATGCCTTGCAGTCTGCGATGAGGGTGAGTTTCCTCTCAAGGAATCCCATCTGAATGACAAGACACTGTTACTTGTCAGACCCTCCATCTTGCACCACTGACAAGGGTAAACCACTCTGAAAAATTCCTCCTGATTAATGAGTTATCACCTTACCCACTGAGTGACCTCAGTTCCTAATATAAAGAAATGAATTCGTACCAAGATTAACCACCAAGAAATCAAAGAGAATGAACAGTCAGTACCTATTAGACTGTGCAAGCATAAAATCCTCTTGTGATAGTTGGTGACAGTATAGTTTTATGATTTTCCTGCTCTTTGCTAAAGTGCTCTTGAAATGGATGAACAGTTGTTGAAGTCCATTTGCTTCTCTCCTTGAAAAGAATATGAGCAGGATTTTGGGGGCAAGTAGGTCCACTTGCATGACCTTATATATTTTGTCTGAGTTGATATTTTCCGACTTGCTCAGCATCCTCCAAATTGACGAACAGTTGTTCAAGTCCATTTCTTTCTCCTCCTCATAAAGAATATAGTTTGGATATATGATTGAAAAGATCAAGAATTGCCACATACTTTTGTCCTACAGCAGTCCTTATTTTTTTGTAGGTACAAGGCTCACTGGTATTAGGAAGTGATGTCAATGGTATTGTGTATTTCTGGAATAAAGATAGTGGTGAAGCAGAGGCAGCTATTCAAGCACACGATGAAGGGAATGCGATTCACAAACTGGTTTTTCATAATGGGCGATTCCTTACTGCAGCTGCGTAAGTAAACATGATTATTTGAACATTCACTGTATTTAGCATTTTGTGGGAGGAGAGAGGTTGCATCTATCAATTGTGACAAAATTGGGAGACTGGGTAAATTTGCTTAGAAAAGTTGGATCCGATTAGAATCTCCATTGTCCTTTCAAAGGGTTATTAAAACTCTCAAGATATCATTTTGTCATCTTATACCCTACTAACATAACCATCAATTGGAGATTCGCCTGTCCAACCTCGTGGGTTTTCTCCGGGTCCTCCAGTTTCCTCCCACTGCTAACGACCCCTACGCGCAGGCGAATTATTGAAATAAAATTGAACCATGTGTTAGTCCCGAAATAACCTAGTTTGTGTTGAGTGGACGTTAAACCCCATTTCTCACTCTCAATCAATTGGAGACTGTATCCCAAACTATAATTGATATAACAATGTTTCATCTTGGCAATTGATTGTTGTCTTGGCAAAGGCACCAAAAACAAATCTGTTACACTCCTTCCATGTCTACCCTCGTGCCCTCGTTTATATAAAATGAATTATTCTTGAAATATATTCAATATTATCCATAATCTTTAACATTAAAAACACAAATTATATTTTAATATTGGTTCATTTCAATCAATATTGATGTTGTTATCTTTATGTGGAAATATTGGCTTTTCATATCCCATATTTAATACATGAATATTTGTCCCCCGCCTTTCGAAGAAAGCAGGGGACTATTAAAATGGGTTCGTCCGTCTGTCTGTCTGTCTGTCCGTCTGTCTGTCCGTCTGTCCGTCCGTCTGTCTGTCTGTCCGTCTGTCTGTCCGTCACACTTTTTGGGACACAATAACTCTCTTCCTAATTGAGCTAGAATGTTCAAACTTGGTGTATGTGTTTATTAGGTCAATGCCTTGATGGAGTTCGAAGATGAGCATTTTCCGCTTAGGGTAAGCAGAGATAAGCAATTTGATTGGTTGATGCTTTGGGACACGATAACTCTCTTCCTAATTGGGCTAGAATGTTCAAACTTGGTGTATGTGTTGATTAGGTCAATGCCTTGATGGAGTTCGAAGATGAGCATTTTCCGCTTAGGGTAAGCAGAGATAAGCAATTTGATTGGTTGATGCTTTGGGACACGATAACTTTTAATTGAGCTAGAATGTTCAAACTTGGTGTATGTGTTTATTAGGTCAATGCCTTGATGGGGTGTGAAGATGAGCATTTTCCGCTTAGGGTAAGCAGAGATAAGCAATTTGATTGGTTGATACTTTGGGGCACGATAACTCTCTTCCTAATTGAGCTAGAATGTTCAAACTTGGTGTATGTGTTGATTAGGTCAATGCCTTGATGGAGTTCGAAGATGAGCATTTTCCGCTTAGGGTAAGCAGAGATAAGCAATTTGATTGGTTGATGCTTTGGGACACGATAACTTTAGTTCTAATTAAGTGAGATTGATGAAACTTGGTGTATAGTTTCATTACAGTAATACCTTGACTAAGTTTGATAATGTCCCCCGCCTTTCGAAGAAAGCAGGGGACTATTAAAATGGGTTCGTCCGTCTGTCTGTCTGTCTGTCTGTCTGTCCGTCACACTTTTTTTTGGGACACAATAACTCTCCTTCTAATTGACCTAGAATGTTCAAACTTGGTGTAGGTGTCTATTAGGTCAATGCCTTGATGGAGTTCGAAGATGAGCATTTTCGGCTTAGGGTAAGCCGAGATAAGCAATTTGATTGGTTGATGCTTTGGGACACGATGACTTTAGTTCTAATTACGTGAGAGTGATGAAACTTGGTGTATAGTTTCATTACATCAATACCTTGACTAAGTTCGACAATGAGCATTTTCTGCTCAGAGTAAGCAGAGCGATAAGCAATTTGATTGGACGAGATTTGGAACACAATAACTCTCCTTCTATTTGAGCTAGAATGTTCAAACTTGGTGTAGGTGTTTATTAGGTCAATGCCTTGATGGGGTGTGAAGATGAGCATTTTCTGCTTAGCGTAAGCAGAGATAAGCAATTTGATTGGTTGATACTTTGGGACACGATAACTTTAGTTCTAATTAAGTGAGAGTGATGAAACTTGGTGTATAGTTTCATTACATCAATACCCTGACTAAGTTCGATGATGAGAATTTTCAGCTTAGGCTAAGGAGCAATAAGCATTTTGATTGGTTAAGACTTTGGAACATAACAACTCTTCTTCTAATTGAGGTAGAATGTTAAAACTTGATGTAGATGTTCATCTTGACTTAGTTCAATGATTAACATATCGTGCTAAAGCTAAGAAGAGATAAGCAATTTCCTTGGTCGATGCTTTGGAACAAGATAACTTTGATTCTATCTGATAGAGAGTGATGAAACTTAGTGTATAGTTTATAATCAGTTGATTGCTGGATACTTTTGAAAAAAAATAGATGTGCAATTAATTAATATGTGTCATCTATTTATTTGGGGATTTCGGCGGGGGACATCAGCCTCACTGTTGGCTTGTTTAAAATCAGTTTCTGGCATACAGGTTCTCTATGGTCTTGAGCGTCATTTGTAGTGAGAAGGCTTGATGAACAAATTATAAAGCAAAACATATCCCATAAGTCAGTGCGGAGGTAATTAAAAATGGCCGATATACAAGCGACTAAAAGATATGGTGTAGACTGGACTAACCAGTCACATTTCACTGCTTACTTATTCCGGCTTATTAGCTGAGTTGGTGCAGAAATGTAAAATAAAATTTTTAGAAATTGAATGTAAATCAGTTTCTATACATTCATATTGCATTTATCTGTGCTTTTCAAACCATTTGCGTCAATTTTAAGGTTCCAAAGAAAAGAGGTGTAGCTCCTTTAAAGTAGAGTATCGTAAGCCAACACCCGAAACCAATATAGGACATTAATAACATGTTGCCTTTTTTCTGAGGATTGAAGGGAGTGGGCTTTTAATACTTAAACAGGTTAGGTTTAAATCCATTTCATGTGTCCAAATGGTAATGTAACATAATAAAGAGTAATATATTTTTCTAAAGTGTAGATTTTGTTAGATTACATACAGCTTGTTTTATCAGAGAGGCTGAAACATAGAGATAAAGAGAGGGTGGTATCCAAGTACATTTAAAAAAATAAAACTGAAATGTTTTCAAGAATGTTTAACATTTGGAGTTGTTACAATACTGTGCTATTATTAATTTGACCTCTGGCAAATTCATTGTTTTCCTTCACTTAAGACCAGGTGTTAGACACAAATATGCTGTCAATCAGCCACAAGTTTTCACAGAACTGGCATCATTGTGAACAGGTGGACTCCATTTTGTATTCCTCTGAATGAGTTGATACACATATTAAAAGGTTGTTTTGTGAGAGAAACAAAATACTTTGTATTCTTCACTTCTTGTTCCTTCTCCGCGACTATCTTTTCTACTCAAGCCAATTCTCTTCCAGTTTATTTTAGTAATGGTGTTTAAGCTTGTTTTAGTACAGATATAATCAAGTTTACTTTTCACCTGTTAGAAACATCTATTGCTTACTCAAAACATTGTTAAATAGAAAATACATGAATAATACAATAGAAATGCCTGCCATTGCCCACAATGTAATACTCTTAGTCATACAAATACTAAGTGAAATACAGAACATTATTGGAGAAACTGGCTAAGGTAAATTAAAATCAGATTTATTTAATAAACATGTAAAATGTTTCAGATATTTGAAACTTGTAAATTATTTATGTTTGGCCACCACCATCTCTGTTAAGTGGTCTGTTCTTCGAGTTGCATTTCATCTCCTAATAAAAGAGAATAACCACGCTGGAGTAGCTAAAATTGATTGAATGTAAGGTTATAGAAATACTGGATTAAAGATGCATTATGTAAAAGCTAAATCTGTCTTTTTTTTTCTGGCTTCAAATGTTATATGAATTATTATTTAGACATTTATTTTACATGACATGCCAATAATCAACACTATAGTATACCATCAAATGGCTTAGATATTAAGTAGATTAGACCATCCATGCCATATAACATGAAAACACATTGTTTCATCATTACCATAGGTTTCCAAATAGTAGCATCTAGACTTATGGTATTCATTTGTTTTCCTATCATATGCACATTTTTTCACATTACCATATAGGTTTTTAAACCATTGGATGGTAGCCATCAAGACTTATATTCATTTTTTTTTCATCTCATATTCACATTGTTTCACCATTACCATAGCTTTCCAAAATATGTGATAGCATGGTAGCCATCTCGACTTATCATATTCATTTTTTTTTTTTTTTTTCATATCCTATGCACATTGACTTCAAGTTCTTCATCATCACAACCATCATCTTCTTACTTATATCCTTTGGTTTCAGTCTCATTATACCCATTGAATTCTTTCTCATCCAATTGGTTACTTTACATTTCAGTGCCACATGATAGCATGATACCCATCTAGATTAATCATATCTAGTTGTTTTCATCGCGTTTCCACCTCGTCTTGTCCATTTATCATTTTTCTCATTATATTCATCAGTGTTATTCCACTCTGCTTTCAATTTTATATTTTCAGGTTTCCATCTTCTACCCACTTGTTCATTTCAACATACCCATAGTTTCAGGGAGCAGCGGAGCCTTGGCGAGTAAGGCGCTGGTTCACTAATCAGGAGGTTCCTGGTTGGCCGAGAAAGTTCCTCTGGATTTTCAGTCCTAGTTTACCCTAGTTAGTCGTGCAGGATGGTTACATTGTGTGCATGTAAAAGATTTCTTGACAGTTGGAATTTGAATTAACTGTAGGCTGTAGAACCACTGTCCTGGCAAAATTTCTCTCATAACACACTGCATCAGCCTGGTTGGAACAGAAAATCCATTGTCTACAATAACACCTTTAGGTAAAAGTGGATGTTGGCCAAACAAACAGATCCCATTAAATTTCATTTCATTTCCGATCTCATTATACACATTGATTTCAATTATTGATTCCATTTCATTAAACTGTATGAATTGGTTTTTGGTTTTATATCTTATCCACTGGAGTCTGTAATATCATACCCATTGGTCTTATATTTTATCCATTGGAGTCTGCAATATCATACCCATTGGTCTTATATCCTATCCACTGGAGTCTGCAATACCATACCTATTGGTTTTAGTCTCATCCATTTAGTCTGTAATATCATACCCATTGGTCATATATCTCATCCACTGGAGTCTGTAATATCATACCCATTGGTCTTATATCTCATCCATTGGAGTCTGTAATATCATACCGATTGGTCTTATATCTCATCCATTGGAGTCTGTAATATCATACCCATTGGTTTTATATCTCATCCATGGGATTCAGTAATGTCATACTCATTGGTTTTATATCTCATCCACTGGAGTCTGTAATATCATACCCATTGGTTTTATATCTCATCCATTGGAGTCTGTAATATCATACCGATTGGTCTTATATCTCATCCATTGGAGTCTGTAATATCATACCCATTGGTTTTATATCTCATCCATGGGATTCAGTAATGTCATACTCATTGGTTTTATATCTCATCCACTGGAGTCTGTAATATCATACCCATTGGTTTTATATCTCATCCATTGGAGTCTGTAATATCATACTCATTGGTTTTATATCTCATCCACTGGAGTCTGTAATATCATACCCATTGGTTTTATATCTCATCCATGGGATTCAGTAATGTCATACTCATGGGTTTTATATCTCATCCATTGGAGTCTGTAATATCATATACCCATTGGCTTTATCTACTAGAGTCCGTAATATCATATCCATTGGTTTCCCTCTCTGTCTCAGCATTTATTCAGTCTTTATTCAGGTTCTTTCTCATCTTGCAGTTCCCACTGGCTTTTTTTTCATCATCCATTACACTGATTTTCATCCATTCACCATTTCAATGTCCATTGTAGTATTGTGCCCATTTGCTTCCATCCCAGCATATTCTGCATTGTTTTCCTAGGCCTTATAATATATTTCATTATACAGGTTTTTGTCTCATTATGCATCAGTTTTGATGTGTGAAATTTTACTTGACTATCCTTATATTTTCTTAGAAATCTCTGAAATAGATATATTTTTATAATGGAGGGGGTGTTACTGTGTTTAGTTAGTAATCATTGTTTCTTTTTTATCTTTTTAGTGATGGATCAATTAAAGAATGGGATATAATGACCATGACTTGTGTACGACTTTTACAAGGTCACAAGGGACCTGTTCGAGATGTCAAGGTAATATCAGTTTTAGTATTTTTTAAAAAGCCAGCTATCAGATGGTCCCTTGATATGTATGTACAGAATTTGTTTAGGACTTCTTACAGACCTATCTGGCAAATGCAAGCTTAATTGTGTCTGGTGTTTGTTAGATTCCTCGCAGGGATAATGCTATACAGTAGAATCTGTATGAGCAGCCACTCCTATTCAGCGACATCTCCTTGTAAGCGGTCACGATAAATTCCCCCCGTAGAAATTCTGTTGTTTCATCTCTTTATTCAACGGTCACTCCTCTAACGCGGCCAGCGGTCACTATTTTACTAATAAATTCAACAAAACATCGCCCATTCAACGGCCATTGTTGAATGATACCATCTTGTCGTTCTTTGTAACACCCCCGCTAATCCCGTGAGTAGTAGTTAATTAACTGGACCCCCACTGATCAGGTAAAAAGAAATGTAAACATAACAATCAACCCGGGATTATCTGTTAATTAATCTTTTGTTTTATTAAACGACTAACCTGATCATTGTTTTCACGCGTAGCGACACATTGTTTGATACTGATTGAATAAAATAAAAGTACCGAGTTTTGTCACGATCAACTAGTATCTCTCTTAGCGCCTCCTATATTACATACAGAGTTACACCCCCTGTAAATAGGTGATAAAATTAGCGATGTTTTTTGTTCATGTGCTTTTTTGATAAAATAAAATGAATTCATCGATTTTCTTCACAAAAATGGATAAATATTATCGAATGCATCACAATGGTAGACAGTAGTATCGAAGGTTGGTACAAAATGACAAGTTTACAGAAGTTATGTCCGAGATTTGAGTAAAGAATTTTCGTCCGGCGCAAGATTCAGCGACGGCCAAATTTACCGCTTCCAATGCATCCAAGCATAATATTTAATTTATGTCGGCACAAAAAGCAACGAGATTTTATTAAGAGGCCACGCCCGTTAAGCGGTCAGTTGTGAAAATTCCCTTGGGTGGCTGCTTAATGCAGATTCTACTGTATATAGACTTTTTGTCCCCCGCCTTTCGAAGAAAGCAGGGGACCATTAAAATGGGTTCGTCCATCTGTCTGTCTATCTGTCCGTCCTTCTGTCTGTCCGTCACACTTTTTGGGACACAATAACTCTCTTTCTAATTGAGCTACAATGTTCAAACTTGGTGTAGGTGTTTATTAGGTCAATGCCTTGATGGAGGTCAAAGATGAGAATTTTCGGCTTGGGGTAAGCAGAGATAAGCAATTTGATTGGTTGATATACATGAGACACAATAACTTTAGTTCTAATTAAGTGAGGGTGAGGACACTTGGTGTATAGCTTTATTACATCAATACATTCACTGGATTATAAATATTTTGTGCTGAGGGTACGCAGAGCGATAAACAATTTGATTGGTCGAGACTTTGGAACACAATAATTCTCCTTCTAATTGAGGTAGAAGGTTTAAACTTGGTGTGGGCGTTCCTTAGGTAAATGCCTTGGTGGAGTTCTATGATGAACATTGTCTGTTTGAGGTAAGCAGAAATAAGCAATCTGATTGGTTGATGCTTTGAGGCACGATAACTTTGGTTATAATGAAGTGAGAGTGATGAATTCATTATATCATTACCTTGACTAATTTCGATGGTGAGAATTTTATGCTTAGGCTAATGAGCGATAAGCAATTTGATTGGTCAAGACTTTGGAACATGATAACTCTGCTTTTAATTGAGATAGAATGTTTAGACTTGATGTAGATGTTCATTAGGTGAATGTCTTGACTGAGTTCAAGGATTAACATTTCGAGCTGAAGCTAAGCAGAGCTATTCAATTTCATTGGTCAATACTTTGGGACAAGATAATCTTGATTCTATCTGATAGACAGTGATGAAACTTAGTGTATAGTTTGATTGCTTGATACTTTTGAAAAAAAAAAATAAATGTGCAATAAATTAATGTGTGTCATCTATTTATTTTGGGATTTCGGGGGGGGGGGACATCAGCCTCACTGTTGGCTTGTTCATTAATATTCTGGATAGAAAAATCAGGATTAAATACACATATCTGATTTGTTGAATCTAAGATGTTTCTGGGATTCATAAAGTATGTAATCCTGACTGAATAAATGTTAATAAAGACATTTATGATAATGATTTCACACTTTGTTTGTGGGTAGAAGAAAAAGAAAAACTTTTTCACTATTCACAGACTACAGGATTGCTGTTTTGAATGTTAATTACTATGTTTGAGTTATTCATTATTGTATTGATAAGACTTGATATTATATTAAAAGTATCTGACTTGCAGTTGAATGGAATTGATTTATTGTTATAAATAAATGAACAATATATAAATAATATATAAATGTTAATATATAAAAACCTATATGTTGTTTTATTTTAATAGATTTATTTATTTATTCCTTATAAACGGGGTATAGAAGGCCTGACTTCTTAAATTAAAGCCATCCTAACCAACTAACAAGTGGCATCAAGATGGACGAAAAATGTCAGCCTAATTGAAACTATATGAAGCTGTAACTTGAATGTCAAAATTTGATAAACACTTCCCATCTTGACAAAAGCAACCAATGTGATTATGGTAGCAGATTGGTTACATATGCCTTGGTTAACATTCCCCATATGTGCTAACATAAGACAAAACAGTGTGTAGCATTCTTTTTTCTTGCTCCACATCTTTGATTAAAACATATTTCAAAATGTTCATATTGCTTAATTTTTCTTATGTAAATCTCCAGTCCTGATTCAAATTTTTGGAGATTTTGTATCATTTGGTTAGAATAAGATCATCTGGATACATTTCCCCTTTAAAGTTTGTGTCTACAGATGGATTTGCCATTAAGATTTTTAGGTGTTAGAAGTGAAATGGACAATATTTGGACATGTTTTTACCATATTTTTAGTGGAAAAGGTTGCTTCTGGTTTTGTGTTCCATGAATGTCCATCAAGAACAATAGGATACATATGTACTTGATTATAAGATCATGCTTATTGTGGAAAAGTATTAATGTAGTAGGTTTACTAAAAGGATTTAAAATCTAAAGGAAAAAAATACAATTAAGTAACTGGTAAATTCACTAGTTAACAAGAAAAATTATACATACATTTATACATTCCTAGAAAGAAAAATGAATAGGAAAATGTCCACATACATGTATATAAATACAAAATGACTACATTTCTAAATATAATAGAGCAATTCACCTGGGTAAGTTGACTTCTGAGTAAGGTTTGTTTTAGGAATAAGCCAAAATATTTTAATTAAAATTATTGTTATTTCTTTTGTAGAGAGGATAAACGTTTATGTTATCAATTTTCACTGGGGTGTAAACAGTTCTTTCTTTATTTATTTATGACCAAATCTGGATATAATATAAGTAATATAATATGTAGACATATCAGCATATATCTATCTATTATAACATCATAGTTCGAGTTCTGTTTTACCTCCTTAAGAATTATAAATTGAACAGACATGCTAATGGTTATTTTCATTTTTATCAAATTATATATTATTTATTGAAAATGCATGTCTCATTAGGAGTCCCTGAATACCTTGGGACACATCCAGAAATGTTAAATTAAAAGTTATAAACACACAGCTTCTTGCTGAATTTTATTTCATTCACCCAATTTTGAAAGCTGATATTTGTCAAATTTTATTAAGAGTATGGTATTGTTGTGGAAAGTATTAGGATAAAGGTCCATTAAGCAGAATTGGTAAATTGGTTTATCTTAAACTCAGTGGTATTAAACAGTTAATCGTTTAGGTCAATGTTAATAGTTTAGAATATTGAAGTAGGGTAGTCTGTAGCATGGATGCTATTTCGCCCATATGTGCCGGACATGTCCTACGCTATTTTCCAACATCTGCGCAGGAATATGCCCATCAAGATATGGAGAATAATGTTCAAATTTTCAAAATTATTTGAGTGTACTCAGTATATAACTATTACTCATTCCAATTATCATTGATAATTGGCTGAATTCATTAGGTATTTAAGTGATCAGCATATTTATCGTGTTATACCTTCTATACACCTACCTTGATTAACAACTTAATCTGACTTGATTGGCTGACATAATCCTTTGTCGGACAATTCATCAATCCAATCCTGAACAGAAGTCATTGCTTCTCCTTTCTCGGACTATTATATAAACTTAATCAATGTATTTAACTCCTGGTGACTCCATTGTCGGATAATTGAATCTCCTTTATGTCGGTCGACTACATGTAGAAACTAGTCATATTATGTCACATATCCTAATAATATATAACACCCTAAATATATCTGATTAATTGTCTCTGATAACACTTCATTAAATAAAGCTATTACACACAAACACATATCGGATAAATACTAGACAATACAGGCTCTGTTTCTAATCACACGTGGTTATAATACAATAAATGAAAACAAAAGTAGAAATCACGCAAGATACATGAAATTACGATATAGATGGAAACGTGATAATTTCAACAAGACCAATGTCAGAGAAAAGGTTCAGTTTTTATGGTATATTCTTGGGTTTATAACAGTATTTTGAATGGGGTTTATGTTTTTAAATAAAGAAATAAACAAACTAAGAAATGTCAACAAATATTTCAATTTTAATAGTGTAAGTATTTAATTGTTTTAGATGTTATCTCGTGAGTGTCGAATGTTTTTATTTTGCAGATGATGTCATTCGCTCACAATCATGGAGCGACGGTTACTGCCAAACATTTTTGGGATATCATTTTTTTTGCCTTTATCTGTATATAAGATAAGTTGAAACACAGTATAAGACACATGCCAGACTTCTGCTGAACAAAGTATCGACTTATACCCCGAAAAATGCAATAATTTTGGAGAAATATTACTATCGTATAACAATAACATGTAATTTTGGAGGAATATTACTGACATCAATTTGCATACAGTACAGGAATTATATAAGAAAAATAACGAAGTGCACCTATTTTTTTTTATTAAGCATGAATTACAATATTTTTTTGACACA